CTCTTCCTCCTCCTCCTCCCTCCTCCTCCTCCTCTTCTTCTTCATTATTTATTTATTCATTTCGATTTCTATCCCGCCTTGCCTGACAAGCAGGCTCAAGGCGGCGTACGATAATAATTTACAATAAAACAGATAGAATTCAACAATAAAATATAAAATGCAGATTAAATACAAGCGATCCAGTGCAGATGGCGATCCTTGTAGTCGGCCCCGTATGACTATCCCAAAGAAAGTGCCAGTAATAGACGTTCAGTAGCTCGTTCAGTGGCGGCTCCTAATCGGAAAGCCTGGTGGAAGAGCTCCGTCTTGCAGGCCCTGCGGAACTGTAAGGGGTCCCGCGGGGCCCTGGTGTCCTCCAGGAGCTCGTCCCACTAGTACGGAGCCGCCACTGAGAAGGCCCGTCTTCTTCTTCTTCTTCCTCCTCCTCTTCAAAACTCCACCTCCTGCACATTCTACCCCCACCTGGTAATTTCCCAAACTGTGCTTGGGATTTCCTTACCATAGTCCGTGGATGGTCCAAATGTCTGCATTTTTGGGGATGACACATTCCAACTTCCTTCCTAGAGCCTCCAAGGAAAAAGGCAGGATCCGGGGTTAGTTCCCAGCGGTGTTACCACACAACTTCTGAGCCCTGTCTGTGCTCCCCGTCCCCATACCCTGATTCTCCCCAAATCTGCCCCCTCACTCCTCTACCAGTCCCTCCCCTTCAGTGGCTGTCTCCCATCCGGGCCAGCTTGGGCAGGAAATGTCTACATTACCGATTTAAACTGCTTTGGAAGTGGGTTTAAGCAGGGCTCTTTTTGTAGAAAAAGTCCAGCAGGAACTCATAAGCATATCAGGCCACACCCCTGACAACACCGCTCATTAACATATTAGGCCACACCCCCATGTCACCAGAAGTGTGCTCATCCAGCCACACCCACCTTTTGCTTCTTATTCTGTTTACCTTGTTTGTGGTCAAAACCCAGGGCCTTGTGTTGGGAGCAGGAACTCCTTTGCATGTTAGGCCACACACCCCTAACGTAGCCAATCCTAATGAGTTACTGCTGTTGGGAGTGGCCTATTATGCTAATGAGGTCCTGCTGGGCGTGGCCAACTCGGGAGCCAGCCGGAACTCCGTTCCTGTGCGTTCCTGCCCAAAAATAGCCCTGGGTTTAAGTCTAGGATCGCCAGTCCCCAGTAGGGCCCGGCCGATCTCCTAAAATGACAAGTGATCTCCAGAGATCTGGAGAAAATGGCTGCTTTGGAAGGTTATGGCGTTATAGTCGACAGAGCTTTCTTTTCTTTTTTTGAAAAAGAAGTGCCAGAACTCTCAAGTGGGAAATGAAGTTTTCAATCCAGCTTCTCCCCAGAATTAAACTTTGTTGGTCTTCAAGGTGCCTTCAGACCGACACAGACACCCACCTGAAACTCTCTTCATTATCTAGCTTTCACTCCCATTCATAGTAATAGGGAATCCTATACCCAGGGGTCATTTCGTAGAAAAAGAGGTGCCGGAGCTCATTAGCATAACGCATTAGCATAACTCATTTGCATATGCCACACCCCCTGACCTCACCAGAAGTGTGTCAGAAGGCAACACCCACTGCTCAGGCTCCACTGGACTGTTTTGGATTGCTAGCTTTTGGGGGGAGGGGGGGAATGTACAGATCTGTCTGCGCAGAGGAGGGAAGGCTTGTACCTGAATAAAACTTGGTCTTAAAGGTGCCACTGGACTCTTTTGGATTGCTCGTTATGGGGGGGGGACGCGCAGATCTGCCCTCACAGAGGAGGGAGAGCTTGTACCTGAAGGTGGGCCGGGGGGGGGGCTCTGCAACTTACTTGGCTGCTTCCTGCTCCTCGTGGCCTGACTGAGGACTGCTGGGAGCAGGGGGCGGGGCTTGTTGCATGTGCTGGCCCCCTGGGCTCCTTACTGCCGGAGCTCCGCTCCTTTGCGCTCCCGCAGGAAATGACCCCCTGCCTATAGCATATCTTGGTCGCCAGGGGCACATCCTTACTAAGGTTGTCAGCTCTGGGTTGGGAAATACCTGGAGATTTTGGGGGTGGAGGCTCGGAGCCTGAGGAAGGCAAGTTATGGGGTGGTGAGGGACTTCATGGGGGTATAATGCCATAAAGTCCACCATCCAAAGCAGCCATTTTCTCCAAGGGAACTGATTCTGTCGCCGAGAGATCCATTGTAATTGTGAGATACGGGATTTTTCTGGGGGAGCATGCCGGAGCAGATTCTTTGAGAAATGTTTAAAAGTTCACGAGTCTTCACTATGCAGACTGAGAACTTCGTTTCCCTCTTGAGAGATTCGACAACTCTTTAAAAAAAAAAAAAAGTGGTGTCAATCCCCGTTCTTTGTGACTCTTTTTCTGACAGATATTTCACCATGGTTGTTTAGTGGGATAAATACAGGGATTCGAATACAGAAGGGCGGCACCCCAGAGCAGTGTCCCCTCTCAGCTGAGTTAGTGTGAGCTAGCTCACAGTTTTTTAGCCTCCGGCTCACACATTTTTGTCTCAGCTCAGGGAGGACGGCTCCAGAGCAGTAGACTAATTTATGCAGCCGCCAAATTGCTCGCTCACCCCTTTCATGCCGGTAGCTCACAAAGTTGAATTTTTGCTCACAGGTAGTGTTCCCTCTAAGCTGAGTAAGTGTGAGTTAGCTCACAGTTTTTTAGCCTCTGGCTTCAGGGGTCATTTCGTGGAAAAAGAGGTGCAGGAGCTCATTAGCATAACGCATTAGCATGACTCATTTGCATATGCCACACCCCCTGACATCGCCGGAAGAGTGTCAGAAGGCAACACTCACCGCTCAGGCTCCGCTGGTCTGTTTTGGATTGCTAGCTATTGGGGGGGGGCACATGTGCAGATCTGTCCTGGCAGAGGAGGGAGAGCTTGTGCCTGAATAAAACTTGGTCTTAAAGGTGCCACTG